GAAATAGTCTAAGTGTGGTGACCAACACCTAAAATCTCAGTTACTTTGGGAGGACTTCTTGAGGCCAGGAATTCAAGTTTAGCTGGGGCAACATAGCAAGACCCTGTGTCTGTGAAAAAATTATATTAAAAAATTGACTGTGCATGGTGTCATGTGCCTGTAGTCCTAATTTCTCAGAAGGCTGAAGAGGGACAGGGGGTTGAGGGTGCAGTGAGCTTTGATGGTGCCACTATACTCCAGCCTGGTCAACAGAGTGAGACCTTATTGCTAAAAAAAGAAAAGAAAAAGGAAAAGAAATTATTGAAATATAATAACAATCCTTTTTTTTTCCCCTGATAATTGGAAAGATTAGATTCTTTCCTTCTCCCCACCATAAGGTACTAGGATGTCACCTAGGAAGAAAAAATATTTAGCATTTTAACTCATTGGGCAAGTATTCAAAATAAATTGTTCCAAGAAGCAAAGTTAATTTATGCCAGTTGAATAGAAAATAACATTAGTTTAATTCATTGTGTTTCCAAGTAACCTAGAAGAATAACAATGACTAAAAATTTCCTGTGTATGAAACTAAATATTTTTCCTGATTTGAAAGACTCTGCTAGACACTGAATGATTATTTTCATTTACATGGTATAAGCAATTCACTTTCTCATACATCTTAAAAGTCTACCTACACAAGAGATAAGAATTATGCTGTTTTATATTAAAATTGATATAATTTCATGAATCATTTTTTATTGACTGATGATTTATAAATTATTCTCCTTCTGGAAAACCTCATTATTTTTTGAAGTCTCTACTACTTTCCAAAAAAAAACTTCCAACTTAATATGTATCCTACCATGTTGTGCCAATTTACAAGTTATGAGTGATCTGGGCAAATATTTTAATTGATTTAGAATTGTGCAATTTGTCTCAGAACTACATAAACATTAAATAATTCAGAGACTAAATGAAACCTTATAATGCAGCACACCAAAGTTGTTTAGGCAAGGTTTTTCCCCCAATAATCAGATAATTATACATAACTAGTCATCATTACTTGAAACAAATTATGTTCTGTTGAAGCATGAAAGAGGTTTCCTGGCATTATTCTGAGATCAACTAATCTTACAGACAATAGGTGTCTGTCTGCAAAACCTGTTTACTGGTGTTATGGTTTGGTTGTGTAGCACTGTGTAGTTGCGCTCTATAGTGAGCCCCTCTTAATTATATCATTTTTCAACTAAATATTGTATTTTTTATTTTGAAAAATCACAGGTTCAGTGAACTTGGCAAATGTGTGTATATTTTGAATACAGAATGCTTTGTCTTTTATTCATTGTAGATTATCTGTGATAATACACTGCTCCATGAGACAGCAGACTAGTGAAGAAAAAAAGGCGAGCAGTTATTTGCTATGTGTTTAAGTGCTTAAACAGAGGAGTTACTCTGCTTTCAGACATTCTTGCTTGATGAATTCACTGGAGGCAAATGGTTTAGAGTGCTGTGTCATGCCAATCAAGGGCATTAGCATCATTTGTGCAGTGGGAAAGCTTGTGTTTGGAGGAGGAGGGATTCTTTGGCTCTGTCTACACAGATTAAGTAAAATGGAAAACTAAGGCATTTATCCAACTAATTCTGGCAAAAAGAAAAAAAAGTAAGGTCAATTATTCAAAGTAGCTATAGATGGTAATGTTCTACTTTCTGCAACTGGAATTGTTTTTATGTTTGTGTTAAATGGAAGACCACACTGGGAATTCCCTTATGGAGCATCATGTAGTGAGTGGTCAAAATTAAAGGCACAACAAACTCTTCATTCCCGCATTGCTTAAAGGACTTATATATAGGCAGCACAATGATAAATCTCCTACTTCCATGTAAGAGTGTACACCGAAAAGATTAACATCATTTGACCACTTAGCTTTTTAAAAATGGTACTCTGAATTTACAAGCTAAATTACTATGAGTTTGGGCATAAGTTATTAGACAATAATATTATTAACTCTAACAAAACGAAGATATACTGTGTTCAAACCACAGGGACAATTAGATTTGTGTGTGTGTGTGTGTGTGTGTGTGTGCGTGTGTGTATGAGTGTCAGGAAGTTCCTACTTCCAAGTTTAAAATATTGTGATAATTCTATACTTTCAAAAATTAAACGATATGTTAGAGGTGTCTGAACCAGAGCAACTCCCATCTTGAGTAGGATCTAGGTAAAACAAAGCTGAAACCTACTGTGCTGCACTCCCAGACAGATAGTCATTCTAAATCACAGGATGATATACTTGGTCACAAGATACAGGTCATAAAGACCTTGCTGACAAAACAGGTTGCAGTAAAGAAGGCAGCTAAAACCTATCAAAACCAAGATGGCCACAAGAGTGACCTCTGGTTATCTTCAGTGCTACACTCCCATCAGCACCATGACAGTTTACAGATGCCATGGCAACGTCGGGAAGTTACCCTATATGGCCTAAAAAGGGGAGGCATGAATAATCGACCCCTTGTTTAGCATATCATCAAGAAATACCCATAAATATGGGCAACCAGGAGACCTCAGGGCTGCTCTGTCTATGGAGTAGCCATTATTTTATAACTTTACTTTCTTAATAAACTTGCTTTCACTTTACTCTATGGACTTGTCCTGAATTCTTTCTGCATGTGATACAAGAACCCTCTCTTGGGGTCTGGATTTGGGCACCTTTCTGGTAACAATTATGCCACAAGAAAAACTGGGCAGATAAAATATAATAAATTTAAATAAAACTTCATAAGGGAATCTTATAGAAACTTTAATCATTCAACATATATTCATTAAACAGCTTTAGGTAAATATTTTTCTTTTGTATCATCTTCTAAAGGTTATAAAGTACTCTTATGGGATAACTGCTTTCTTTCCCCAGCACCAGTCATTAAAGTCTATTTTTCCCTTCTAATTTTCATGTCAATAAATTATGTTATCTATGTAAATCTTGTTTATTAATTCTTTCCTCTGGAAAAAATTCCACATTCTTATGATAGATTTCAATGTAAATTTTTTCTTCTGTTCCATTAATCTATTTGTCTATCCCTATGGCAATATCACCTACCTTAATTTTTAGTTTGTTATATATTTTGGTGTCTGAAAAGGAAAGACCCCTCATTTTGTTTTTTATTTTAGGTATATCTCTCATTTTAGAATTAGCCTGCAAGTTAAAAACAAATGTAGGAATTTTAAGTAGAATAATTTGACTCATTCTAGGCGTCTATTGTTTTGTTATAAATTACCTTAAAATTAATGACGTAAAATAATCATTATTTTTATTTACTGAATTTCACATTTCTGGGGGTTAACTGAGATCAGTTAGGCAGTTCTTTCTTGAGGATCTCTCATGTGGCTCTTGTCTAATGGTGGCCATTTGTTCATATATCTGGAGGTGAAAGCTGATGTCATCTGGAATGTTACTGAGGGTTGTTGTTCAAAACTACTCCACATATCCTATCCATGTGATCCCCCTACTCCCTCATGACATGGAGACCCGATTTCTGGAACAAATAAGAGTCCCAAGAGGACCAGGCAGAAGTCACATCAATAGTTATGACCTAGCCTTAGTATCAAATATTATTGTTTCTACCATAGTTCATCAAATTCAAGGGGATGAACATACACACACACATACACACACACACACACACACACACACACACACACACACACCTTTCTATGATAGGAACATCAACAATACATTGTAGGAAGAATATATGAGAAAAAGAAAATCTGGCTACGACCATATTGGAAAAAAAAATTATCTGTTACAATTCTGTAGATTAATTTAGGAAAAATTAACATCTTTACACTATTGAATTTTCCTATCCATGAACATGGTATAATTCTCTTTATTTAGATTTTTTATTTTCTTTCAGTAAAGCTTTATTCTTTCATAAATAGCAAATGTACATTTTGTTAAAATTATTACTAGATATCTTATTTTTTATGTCATAGTAAAGGTTACCTGTTTTAAAATATGTTTTTCAACATTATTTGCACATAGAAAATTACTAATTTTATATGTTTATTTTGTATTCAAAACACATGCTTTACCATCTAATTTATTCTAATAAATTATACTGCTACTGAATGAAGTTTTTTACATAGTCTTATCTTCTGTGACAATTCTTTTTCTCTTTCTATTTCACTTATTTAATATGCACATATAGTACCTATCATGTCTCAGGCACTATTTCCGTTTTTTTAGTGATTCCACTTTTATTTTCATTGGTGTATTTGCTGGTTTGTTTGTTTTCTTCAACTTTTATCTTAAGTTCCAGGGTACACGTGCCGTATGTGCCAGTTTGTTACATAGATAAATGTGTGCCTTGGAGGTTTGCTATGCAGATCAACCCCTCATCCAGGTATTAAACCCACCATCTGTTAGCTATTATTTCTGATGCTCTCCATCTCCCTACATTCCCTAACAGGTTCCAGTGTGTGTTGTTCCTCCCCATGTCAGACACTGTTTTGAGCACTAACAAATACTAACTAATTTAACATTAATAACCTCCCTTCAGGTAGGTATTATTATTTCCATTTTGAAAGATAATGGAAAATAATGGGGCTCACATTATTCTTGCTCATGTTTTTTACTGCTTTGTTTGTATGTTTTGTGATTGAACTTAAATTCATATTCTTGAGAACTTTGTTTTTGCAAATTTATTGAGACTTAGATGGAAAAGAGGTTCCTTTAAATAGGATTTTCATTTGCTTCTGCTACATGCCTGGAGAGCCTAGTGATTCAGCATCACTTTAATTAAATGATTGCTTTTAGTTTTATTTGAACATACCCAAGTGCTGTGGACTCTATCTCCAAACCCAGCCAGTGAAGACTGGTTTGTGGTGTGAATTTCCAGAAAAGAGTTTTTTCTTCTAGTCAAGGCTGGATAAGAGCAATTTGTCTTGCTGATCCCTTAGGAGAAGGTGACATTTCTATTTACACTGAGAGGATGGCTGTTTGGGGCCCCAGATCTATGAAGAGGCTTACCTATTAGATGTCGTCTTCTTTCCTTATGGGCACTAGTCCTCCATCTTCTGTGACCTGTGAAGGTGTGAAAAGGAAACTCAGGTTCATCTTGATTTGATCAGTGCCCTAAGAACAAAAATCATACTCACCGTTTTGCTTGGCTCTCTGGGTTTGTACTTTCACTTAGTTTTTGACCTGTGCAAACTCCTAACTTTCTTACCATGTCATTGATATACCTAAAAATATGTATTTTTATATTTAAACCAGTATTTTAGTTGCTTCTCATAACAGAGATAATTTTTGTTAAATTAATAGAAAAAACAGTCTCAAGAAAACTATGCCACCTCTGTCTGAGTGAATAAAAGAAATAACTGAAGGAAATATTTTAAAAGAGAGATTATGTACCTCGATTTGTGATAACCACATTTCTCACAACTGGCAGAGTGCAATGCAGGCAAAAGTGGTTTTGGTGCTAAGAGAAAGTAAGCGTAAATACCATAATGTTTTCACAAGGTTCATACAAACTTTACATATACCACATTAACCTAAAAGGAGACACTGGAATTCACCAGGTAGTTCTAAGAATGCTAGTCTGGAGAGCAGCAGCGGTGACTACAACTATGAGGTTGTTTACTTGTCTCAGTGAAAGAAACAGAGGGTGGGAAGTTGATGTGAAGTCAGACTTAGTGGTCATGGCTCTGGATTGGCAATTCACAGGTCTAGCTTCTAAACTCACCTCTGCCATTAGTGGTTTGTGGAAAGTTGAGCAAGTTACCTTTCCTCTCTGGGTTTAGTTTTACTTATCTGTAAACCGACTATGAAGATAACACATGAAGCAAAAACCTGTGGCCTCTCAGTCCTCAATTACTCCTTTACAGCTCCTCTAAGGCCAGCACAGTTCTTCTGGCAATATGCTCTGTCTCCTCGTGTTTAAAGGGTCACTACTTAGTGATTCTAAAATGTTTTATAAGATAATAAGAGTCAGCTATTATTATCTTATTATTTTAGCATTATTATTGGAACAATGGAAGAAAGCCCAGATGACTGTATATAAGTGTTATTTATGAATGATGGGTACTCGTAAGATTTTTAAACATAAAATATCATAAATCATATCTTTGTGACAAATTGTTTTTGTGCCTCAAACTCCAGGTATATTTTATTGTTGTTGTTCTGTTATTTCATCATTAGCTGTATTGCAAAACTAATGAAATTCAAGTTTTAGGGTCCCTGATTTATGCATTCCCCTTCCAAAGACCCTTTTCCTCTCATTTTAAAATAAACATTCACTTTTGTGTTTAATGTCTTAATTATAATGTTTTGTATTATTAAAAAGTGAGTTCTCCTCATTGTATACATTTCAGGGTCCACAAAACCTAAATCTGCCCACTCCAATACTTTATTGAATAAAAATTACATATTTCTTCCTCATTTGCTTTATCACTTCTCCAACTTTTATTAAACAACAAAAAAAAGACATAACCAAGATGCTATTGATTCAGGTGTACTTATAGAGAAACATGTTTCGACACAGTTTTGGCCTAATAAAATCAGAGGGCAGTTTGACAGCTAAGCAAAAGCTCTTTTGTCTTTCATTGCCTTCTAAAGCTCAAACGTTCACTCTTTTTTAAGCCTAGATCCTTGGTAAAAACAACAGGTCACAGTAGTTATTGTAATGTTTTGAGACTGCAAGTTGTGACAGTGCTAGTGAAAAAAAATACAGGTGAATTTTAATTTATTTCCCAATTTTGAGTGAACAATCCTACCAGCCTCACATAGTATCTTATAGTTGCAAAACATTTATGAACAGTTGAATTCAGAAAAGGAAGATTTATTCAATTGCTTCGTGTAGTTTGAGAACTAAGATAACATGAGCAATTGTTAACTTCAAAATATTCTATCCTGTTTGTATTGTTTTTACATTAAAATTATACTCTCATATATATACACATATTGACTATGGCTGGCCATTTCTAGGAATTTGGGTATTTTTGTCAAAGGAAAGCAGCCTATTTTAAGATTTTATTTTACATATTTTATTTTTATTTTGAGGGGAATCCAAATATCTACATCATGAACTTAAATTCCTATAGCTGCCAGAACTGACAGAGAATTAGCAAGGCAGAGCCAAGTTCACGCAAGACTGTCTACGGCGCTCTTATAGCTAAAGACAAACCAAAATATTGACTAGTTCTTCTCAAAACAGCATGTATAAGTTGTGGCTGAAATAAGCCTGATGTAAGAAAGAATACAGATGGCAGTATAATCATAGGCTGGGTCTACAAGATGCCAAACAACCCATTCAAAAGTGAAAAACTCAGTCGATCAGTTGGTGGTTTTGTCTACATGCCACCAAGCAACAGGCTTGACTGATTTCTTCACAAAATTGACTGAGCTTTTGACTATACTTGAGCAGATGTTTTATTGCTATGTATATTCAGTCTTAGTTGTCAAATCTATAACTCAAGTAAGCTCTTCTATGAATGATGAATTCCTTTCCTACATCAAAACAACCTGAAAGTGTTAAACAAAGCTCATCTGCAGTTTTTAATTCATCTTAGAACCTAGTTCAATGTATGTGCTTCACATAGTATAGCGTATACCAAACAAGAAATAGAATCTCCCAACTTACATGCCTCACTTTAATATTCTATAAATTCATTTGGTATCCTGGCTACTCAAATATACATTGAAAAGTAATTAAAATCCATTTTACATTCTTTTTGCTTTTAAGCAACAAGTTCCTTGGTATATACAATCTATTTGCCATCAATGTATCAAATTACTATCAACATTTACAATTTCTTTTGACATTTTGTTCCAAATCTTTTAAAAAAGCTCCTTTTCTCTAAAAGATAAGTCACAAAATCCTTCAAATATTTCATAATTAAAAATGAAAGCAATAAAAAAAGGTACTGTTTTAAAACAAGTTCTTTGTGAACAGAGATCTCATGCCTTTGACCTCTGTTGTGTTCTCATCACCAGATATGGTATGGGCATCAACAAATGTTGATTTAATAAATGATTAGATGGATTGTAATATACTATTCTCCTAGCCACTGACAAATTGTGGTCTATTAAGAAGTGACTAGGGGAATAAATACTCCAGTTCAGTCCCCTCCTGTCCTACAAATGTACTGCCCAAGCTTCTGTTGCCTAAACCCAACTGGAAACCAGAAGGCAAGGGAACCTGTTAAGAGCTCATAGGTAGGCAGAGAGTGGTGGCAAGTAGCTCTGGAGCTGCAAACAGTGTCCACCATCTGCACACTGCTGTCCTCCATGCAGTCACTGCAGATAAGAAGCAGTGATTCTTATAATTTTCACACACACACACTAATTACATATATACATATATACACATGTATGTTTATTATATAATAGACAGATAATAGATAGATAGATCAAAGTGCTCTCAAAACCTAAAGATTGTTGATTTTTTCCCAAATCCCTTGAAAGTATGCTGCCAAATAATCTTTAAATTCCTTTCTGATTATATTATTCTTTGATATGGACTAATGTGAATGCCTTGAAACACCACTTACCTTTAAAAGAAACATAAAACTTCTATTTAATTAAAAAAGTAAAACATGTTTTTTAAGAAGCTAGAAAATATAAGAAAGGGTAGATGAGAAGCATACTCATTCATACATGATGCTTCCAGGGGCCAATAGATGAATTTTTTTCTTAGTTCACAAGGCAGTCGTCAGGAAAGAAGGTGGTTTTCTGGGTCTGTCTCTAATCATTTCCCTTCTTTCTGATTTCTGTCCATCTTCCATTCACCATTCTTTATATGCTGTCAGTTTTCATCTTTTCAAACTCAAAGAACAGGCAAGAGCATGAATGGGGAACAAGCAAAGGACTCCACTCTGAGAAAGTGGCTCCAAAAATGTTTACTGCATCGGCATTAATATCTTCCAAAAAAAAAGAGCACTTGCCCATCTTTTGAGACCACAGAAGCAACTGTCTTTATTCAAAGTTACTTGTGATGTGCTCTAGGGGACAATCTCTATGTGCTTAATACATAGGGTTTTTTTTTTTTTTTTTTTTTTTTTACAATTTTAACAGTGGTCTGATGGGGAAATGTAACTTTTATCTTTATGAATTTCTAGATTACACTATGTTTTCAGCTAAGCAGTGGATGGAGTCTGACTTAGCCCAAAGACCTCTTTCCAGTTTATGGGGATGTCTTTTTTTTTTTTTAACCTTCACTTTAAAACCAGAAAAATACTTTCTTAACTTACTCAAAGGATGTGCAAACTATTTCTTCAAAGCTCTGAATTTCCTGGGCCTGACTTTTAAATAAAACCCACCAAAACAGGATAAATTGAAAGGATTAGGAAAAGAAAAATCATAAAGCATTTATTTTCAGGTTGAATAAGAAATTCTGTTTGGTTAAACAGAAGCAAGTTTCCTGCAGCCATTCCCCACCACCCACACTCATAGTTCTTTCTTTTGAAGCATGAATGTTTGCTCTAATCATTAAAGAAGTCAGATGCAGACCCTCTTTCCATAAGAGCTAATTTTTTATACATTATGTTAATAAGCACAAGCTGCAAATATAGAGAAAACTCTTACAAATTTCCTGAAATCACTCATCTAAATACTATGCTACAGCTAAAGCTATCCTATATTAAAGGTCTTGAGGAAGAAAATGATAGGTACCATTACAAATATCTTATTTACCTAATTTGTAAAAACACACTGATTTTTAAAAAGAAGCTTTTAAAGCAGTGATCCTACAATATATCTTCTTCGACAGAGTTGTTTTAAAATCAAAGGCGGCAATTCTTTCTTTTACTTTTCCCAGGACTTTCACACCACTAGAATAAATTGTCAATAGATAACGGAATATTTGTATTGATTAATTCAGGATGTCAACTACTATATGATTCACAGAAGGCAAAAGAAATGCCAATGCTTTCATAACACAAAATGACACATTAAGAGAATACTATGGCTCCCTCACAACAGCTAGGCAATTTTTGCAGAAAAAAGAAAAACCTTTACACCTGAAGTCGAGCAAATGGACAACTTGAGAGAGCTGTAATTGGCTCATTTATAGCTCTTCTTCTGTTAATATTAGGCTAGAATTTACTTAGTAATCCTTTACTATTTGAAGAATTCGGTAAAGATTTTGTTTCAACCAAAAATAAACTGAGGTACAAATGATTTTAAGTCTTGACAAAAAAGTAAAAACATATCTTAGGTGTATCAAGTATGATGAATATTGTGGCTATGTTGGGATACATAAACAAATGGAGAATTGAAGTAGTCTTAAAAGTCAAGAAAATAAAAAGCAAAATGTTTTAATATTCATTACTGGAATGTAGATGCTTTGTTTGATTTTGTTAGAACATTTGTTTTGCATTTTATGGGGCTCCTTTATTTGGATAATTGCCTTAATTCACCACTTTGCATGCCCAGACAGATAATTAGTTAATAAGCTTATGTTAAGCACCTACTCTGTGTCAGATTTGGAATTATGAGTACGGATCCCATTTAACTTCAAGATTTGCAAAGGTGTTAACCAATGACATTTCGACAGAAAGAGAGCAAGTATTACTAAAAAGATTGGACAGCCACAGCACTTACCAGGTTTTTTAAATTTTAAAAATAAAGCTCTTATCTCCTAGTTCAAATATCCTCATTCCAAATGCAAATGTATTGAAGAGGGTGGGTGAACAGGTCAGGTTTCGTCCACAGGGAAACTCTGTGAACTATTTAGAACTGCGGGCATACTCCTGGAGAGCTGCTTTGTCCTGAGTGTCCACAGATTTACGATGTAGACTCCTTGGGGAGTCTGTGAGGAGAGAATGCCTTATTGTAATCTCTCCACTGGACAGCCTCACCTGGCACAGAGAGTACCCTGAGGCTCTTTCTCACCTTCTGAGACCTTGGGGAACCCTGTTGACTTCTTTTTTGGCCTCCAAGAAGAGTCGGCATCAAGGGAAGAAACTAGAAATATATAGCAGAATACAACTGGTTCAGGAGAGACGCATGCTTGGCCCAGTATATTATTCAATGAACCTTCCTCCAGGTAAGAGAAACGCTGTATGATAAACAGCAAAGAAACATCAACCTCTGGTCTTGAATGATAGGAATCACATCACATAAACTGAAATTGTCTAAACCTTAAAGTTTCTCCATCACTAGCCTATGTTTTCCTCAATTTTTACTACTTTGGAGATCATTTGTACTAAAGTATAATAAAAAGGCAATTCAGGAGAACTGTCAATTTAAAAGGGGGAAAAAAGCAAAAGCAAAAAAAAAAAAGGCCTAGACAAGGGACACAGCTCTGCATCAGGTCACTGAGTGTATTCATTATTTGTCTCTATTACCATGTTATGTCTTAATTACTCTGGTCTGGCTTCCTACCCGGGGTCACTATGTTACAGCTGGTTTTCTGCCCAACCCTAATTAATAAAGCCTCATTTAGTATCCAAGTTTATTGGAATAAACCTCTGCTGAGAGATTTAGCAGAAATAAAGAGAGGAAAAAAAACCTAGAAATTATCAGAGTTGCTCTAACACTAACCTCGCACCATAAAAGGCCTTAGTTTAGGCGTTCTCTGGGTTACTTTTAACCTGGAAAGGACTTTCATTTGATTTCATTTGAAATTTCTGGCATAATTAAGTACAGTGGTTAGATTCCACCTCAAGGAAGAAAAGGGACAATGGTTCCCAAGCACTCATAAATATATCATTCAGGATTTTTTAAACTAGTTATTCATTCATGTTTTTTGCATTCAAATTAATATTATTTTGTGAACAAAAACAATGCTTTCAAATGGCAATATAAAAAAGTAATATACATTCATCAGTTTTCTTTTTCCTGTGGCACTACTTCTCTTAGTTTTCTGACACATCAAATAAAGACAAATTATGTGCTAGCCTTTTCTAATTTATTACATATAATCTCAGCCAATAAAATTTGCAAATTAAAAAAAAAACTCACCATCAAAAATCTCAGCACTATTATGTATGTCTCTGTCACTCTTTCCTCTCTCTCACACCAGACATACACACACAAAACCAATTCTATTTATTAGAATTCACACAGCTCCTGAACAGATAGCTCATCTGCATTTTATCAGGTGTCTCTATAATTAAAGCTTATTGTAAAGTGAGATATTATTGGTATATTTTATTACTTGTCTATGAGAAGCTGAACAAAGTAAGAGGCATAAATGAATTCAGTTTTACAGTACTTTGTTTTAAACAAATGTCACTACCTACACACACATACCTAATTATCAGTTCTTACACATTCTGCCAAATATCAAACCTATAGTTCATAAGCCACACACGCGACAGGCGGTAAATATATTCCCCCTAATTTAAAATTTTATTGCAGAATACCCTCTGCACTATGTTAACCTACACTAAATCACACCCTACACTCTCAGCTTTACTGGTGTTTACCTACTTCTGATTCAAAAGGAAAACAGTCCTAACTCCTGTTTCTACATATCTATAGTAATAAAAATTTTAAAAAGTGAATGACTTATATGTAAGAAAAGAA